CATACATGTCTACCCTCATTCAAAGAAGAAAACAGACACTCTGTCACATAGGACATCCAAGAGAAAGTGAGATTAGAAACATCATAGTAGCCATTTCTTTCACAGAGAGATGAAGAAAATTCTCCAGAATCTTCCAATGAGCAAGTGGCAGACTGAGGAATCATGTTCAGAGCTAATTACACTTCAGGTCTCCCCACCCAAAACAGGCCTGCTCATTTTCATAACAACATGAAAATATCTGAAAATCATTCCCATACTTCTCTTAGCTTTATTTCTCCAGGCAAAATCATCCCAGCTCTTTGAAGCAATCCATTAAAATGTATTTCTAGCCTTCAACATCCTTAATATTTCATAACTTTTTGCTGTTCCTCTTAAAAGGTGGTAATCAGATTTCATGCCGTAGTCTATGGAATAAACAGTGTACAATATGAGTGTGAATGGAATTTCCCATGATCCCCACTACTGCAGCAAGGTTTATTGGTTTTTCTTTGCCTATGTCAACTACATTTTAATATAGCTCCTTGTTAAGACGGATGATTAAATTCCCATAATTGTTTCACAAAACCATAAGCAAATAAACTCCACCTATTCCACATCTCTGCTCTTTAATTAACTCTAATTCAGAAGTTATGTTTGTCACAGCTTGCATTACAAGATGTGATCATTTGTCATTAGGCTGTCATGATATCGTTTGCTTTCCATCTGTCCCCCTGCCAGCATATCCAGACATTATCCCACAACAACTTCTATTTCCATAGTTTAGGAAGTGTTAAGCCTATTTTTACAAAGGGAGAAACAAAACAGTAATAACGGTTGCCCCCTGGTCTGAGAGACTTTCTGGCAACAGACCAAATACTAGACAAATCCGGCTTAATTGTATTCACAATCATTCTTACTTTTGTGAAAGACTTACTAGGAAATTAGGTTTGTTTAAAATATTAAAAGAGGAAATTAAAAACCGATTGTAGAATGGTGGAGATTCGGTTCTTCCGACACCCAAAGGACCACCATGCAAAAACAATGCAGATGCGTTGCCTTTTTTTTCTAGAAAAGATCAGTAGTTTGGAATCAGAAGAAACATATTTTTACTTCTAAGAGCTCTTACATACTGCTGATTACCAGTGACAAGGGTTTCATTATGAGCATGAGTTATGATCAGTAATTTAGCTCGTGCAACGTGGCCATTTTCGGAAACATTTTAGTTGGTTTGGTTTTTTGTTTGCTTGCTCATTTGTTTGTTTTGGTTTGGCTTTTTCTGTTTGCTTGTTTTTAGCATAGGTAAATAGGTTAGTCTTCCCAAGCCAGGGGAAAAGTTTGCTTCAGGGCCTATGCTTTCAAAGTGAAATGCACCAGGCATTGCTTACCTATCACGTGCCCAAAGTTATCTCATGTTACAAGGATGGGTGAGTGGTTCGCTTCCTTAAGATACAAGCCACCAATCCCCTGCCCACTACATTACATAGAATGTAGTTTGTGTACTATAGACGAGTCATTTGTTTTCATTAATATCAGATAAAAGAAATAAAACTGCAG